CTTTTGTTTGTGTCAAATCAACAAATCAGATACGAATAGTTGTTACACATAAACCAGGCTGTGCTATGCAAATATGTCACTCTCCCGCTAATTTATCCCCTGTTCCTCACAGAGCCCTCCGCTGGTCCTAATGTTATGGTGCAGAACATCTCTGGAAGCACTGTGGTGGTCGGCTGGAGTCCTGTTCCTGTGGAGCTGCTTAATGGGTTCCTCTGTAACTACACCCTCTTCTACAGAGCCACAAACCACACTGCCAGGAGTGAGTGTTCCTTTCAAACAGGCACACTGGAGTCACCAGTCACCTCACACACATCTGTCCATGCACCCCAGTGGATATCAGAGGGAACATTGTATTCATTTAAATCTGAACTTAATCATTTGGTGCTTTCTTCATTGAAAATCCCCATCTTGAGATATCTTTACCTGACTCTAACCATTTGGGGATTTTATGTACTATCTTGCTTGAGTGATTTTCTTGCTTTTTGTTTTCATTTGTCACACTAAGGCAGTTATAACTCTTTTTCATTTGATTAGATGTGTCTGTGCCTGGTTATGTTCACCACTACACTCTTGAGAATCTATTACCGGGTAATTATGAAATCTTCATGTGGGCCCACACTGTCGCCGGCTCCGGGCCAGCTGGGAACATGGCCAATTTGCACATAGGTGAAGATGAGACGTGCACACATAAAATAAAAAAAACTCAAATATTATTCAATTTTAGATTGCCATGTCTCTAACACCTCTTTGGGTTTTTGAAGGCTCGGAGGAGATTTCCATCGTAGTTAGTGTCATCATTCCATTTGCACTGACTTCTCTGGCATTGATCCTGATGGCCTGCATGGTACAGATGAAGATGTAAAAAATCCGTCCGTCTAAAATATGCCTTGTTTTTAATACATAATTACAATGGGATAAAAATGTATTTCATCATTATTAACCTCATCCTGTGTGGTTTAGGGGAAAGGGGAAGCTGTGTCAAGGCGTCCCCAATCCATCCAAGAGCAGCTTGTCTGGATGGATCCCTGAAAACAATTTAGAGGTAAAAATCTATCTATCTAAGATCTAAGTCTAAATCTAAGTTAAAGTCTTTAAAAGCATATTGTCTTCACGTGAGAGTGAGCATATTTATGTGTTTTAGACCAACCAAAAAAGACTAAAGACATTCCTTAGATTACCAGAGATTCTATGAGCAAAATGCATTGACTTCATGGCTTTTTTTTCACCCTTTTACCACCTCAGAGTAAGGAACTGTTCATGGTACAAGAGAAGCCTGACATCAAATACACTGACGTCGTTTTGCTCGATAAGGTCAAGGACCTGGATCTGGTTGACAGCTATCAGAGTGTTCGCAAACTCCACGCACACTCCCTCCAGCAGTTCTCTTCACCTCCGGACCAAATTCCAGGGAAAGCATCCACCAGAAGCATGCTTGAAGCCAAGACAACTTCGTATACTGATCTCTCCCCCTCCTCCTGCTTCTATTCCAACATCCTCCACTCTCAAGTCCTCAAAAATCTTCCCACACCCCTCCTGCCTTCCTCCAAAAACCAATCCAGCGATTGTCAGCCCAAAACAGTCTGCTTTAGTGACATGACACTGCATCTAGATGGAGGCAAGCAATCATCTGACTTCCGTCTATCAGACGAAAAGAAAGACTTCTGTCATTTTCTAAAACAGAATCAAAGCTGTGTGTCTGTCTCGGGCTTCAGTCTCGCTTCTCCTTGCTCAGCGTTAGTCTCTCAGCAGACTGAGGATTGCAGGGCTGATTTGGTTCAGTCGCTCCAAACGGACACCTCCAGGCACCTACATCCTCTCCCTGACAGTTTCATGATGTCACTTTCACATACTCCTATTTTTGTGGATCTCTCCTACTGTTCGGTACAGTGTGATCCCCACATATCATCTGGTGTTTGATTTGATGTGAGGAACATGTTATTAAAGCTTTTTTTTTTTTCCGTACACAGGTGGTTCATGTTTACAGTTGATTACACATGGAATTAACGTGTCCTTGAAATGCAGTCGGTTTTGATTTGAGGGGATTGAAATAAGAATAAAAATGTCGGAATCACAGATCATTCATTTGTCAGGTCCCCCTCTTTTATGAGTGAATTATAACAGAATCATTGACTCAGAATCTGTAATGTGGAGAGATGTTTTATTCCATGGGTGAGTTTTCTACGCCTCAAAGAGGCTATTAATACCAACAGGTAAAGGGAAACAACTTAAAACCAGAAGCGAAATAAAGTAAAAGTAAGGTGTAAATACTTTGTTACATACTTATTAGGATCATTTTGAAACAGCATTCTTTAAATAGATGTTACTGTTCGACAGGATCCCCTTTTCACACCACATCACCATGCTGCTTTGTCCAACGTTCAGACCACAAAACATGAGGTTTCCCCGAGTTATTTTCTGGATCTGTTTGTCTCTTTCACATCAGCTGCCAAGAATGGTTTTGTGCTGAATTCTGTATTTATAGATGCATTTATGTTG